TTTTTTTTTGATTTTTGTCTAAATAATCTGCATATAACAGTTATTTTTTAATTTTAAATTATATGTCTTAGATAACAGATATAAAAGTCATAAATAAAAATCAATCAATGACTTTTACTTTTAAAAATCATCAATATAAATCAGTCACTAACTTTTATTTTTGATATCATACTTATAAAATCATTTGTATGAGTGGTAAAGTTTTGTTCTCCAACACCTTCTTAACTGCGAAGAATGATAATGACTTTTATATGTATGACTTAAAAAATAAAAGTCGGTGACTGATTTAAATTGATGACTTTTAAAAGTAAAAGCCACTGACTGATTTCTATTGAAGACTTTTATAAATAAAAGCCTTCAATAAATGTTTTCTAAGACATATAATATTAAAAACAAAAATAACTGTTATCTGCAGATCAAAAATAATTGCTACTTTGGATTTGTAAAAAACAAGACAAAACTAATTGTTATTTTTTTAATTTTGCATAGAAATTACAAATAAAATTTTATTTTAAATTTGATTCTCAGTGAAAAAAATAAATCGATTTGTATGTATCACTTAGCTGTAGAACATTTCCTTCATAGCGAAGTTTTCAATGACAGTTTTCATCAACAACTGTTATATTCGGGCAATCGAAAAAAGTAGTGTGGTGATGCCACGCGCGACTGAAGTGAAATTCTTTTTTTTCCCCGTATTTATAACGTTAAAGCTTCAAAATTTAATTTGTCAATGTTATTGTGGCTTAATTACATTTTTATTTTAATATTGTTATTGAGCTTGTGGTACACGATTATGTACAAATTTAATTATTTAATTCCACATTTTAAACAGGTGGGGTGACGAACTCTAGTTTACGAAAAGTTGACAGCGTATTGCTAACATCAGTCACTTCGATCTCCTGTTACACTAAATACCTAAAGAGAATCGACTTGTTGTCTCATAACGGTACGCAGTAGAGCCCTCTTGACAATAGTGGATGGTTATGCATACGAATTTACCAAATTTTTTTAGACTTTTGGCCAGGTTTTCCAAAAATTGGCCACTGTGCATTGGTTTAAAATTGTAAATAAAATGACAGGTTAGTTAATATAACTTTTTTATCTTTCATATCTGTGCTTTTATCTATTTCTCCACCTACATATTCACCTAGATGAGGATAAGATATTATGTGGTGTGATGTCAGGTGATGCGAGGCGATGTGATGTGTTTTTATGTGAAGTAATGTAATGTGATGTCATATCATGTGATGTCATGTCGCGCCATGTCATGTCATATGATGTAATATCGTATTATGTGATGTCGTGTAATGTGGTCTCAATTCATGTGCCGATTATTATATCGATAACAATTTCGATAACAATATTGAAAACACATGGTATAGTATAACAATTCCAAAATCAATTAAATTATCGATAACAAGATCGATTATTATATCGAAAATAATATCGATTATTATATGGATAACAATATTTATCATTTATCTTTATTTTTACATATTCCCCTTAACCTTTGCCATAAAGTGTTTAAATTTACTGTGATCCTAATTTTTGCCTTTATATTTACGCATCTTTGTTTTAGTTTTTTTTTTTACCTTTGCCTTTATCCTTTTCCTCATCTATTTATGTACGTACTCACTTTTACTTTCATTCTTGAATTAGACTTAATCTTAATCTTATTCTTAAACCGCTTATTAGCACATTTTTATTAAATTAATACCATGTGCATACATTTCAGAAGCACTTGTTTCCGTTGCAACCATTTCTGTGCACTTCATTGTGCATTTCTGATACACTTCAAAAAATACAAAATGCATCTGTCTAGTCCTTATCAAAAATTTATTCTTACGGGAAGTTTTTTAATTACATGCATATTATTTATGTATGCCACATTTTATGTCATCACTTGCGCTCATTTTCCAAAATTAATTTCTGCCTAGTTTCTAAATTAAATTTTTAGATCATTTTCCAGTGCAATCTCGAAGTTATTAGCATTAAATTTCTGATACTCCACACGAAATTGCCAATAATCTAATTAAATTTAATACGCGAAAAAATGCAAGCGACACTTCTCGTTTGCTCAATTTTCGTAGTCATTTGCAAATTAATTGAATGTTGAATGTGACTTGATAAAGAAAATGAAAAAAAGAAACAAACAACAACAAACAAGCAGTAGTGCAAACAAATTGTCGTCTGGTGGGCAATGCAATTCGAGCTGCCATTAACAACACAAAGCTGTAGGTAAATGTGACGATAAAAAAAAAAAACAATAAATAGTGAGGTGTGTTTTTTGCAACTATTTTTTGTTTTTTGAAGGGAGCTGTGAAATCGCCACTATGGTGTAATTTTTTTTTTGCGCGGAAAGGCCGTTGGAAAATGCATGCTGGAGCTATTTGGGGTGTGTGAAAAATTCAACGTTCACATTTCCGTTTTCTCTTTTTTATTGGAGAGTTGAAGCAAGTTTTATCTTAACTAATAATTGAAAATGCATTGAGTATAAAGACAAATATATATATTAGGCAAACGGCATAAAATATATAAAAAAAATCTTTTGCGCTAAACTGAATGACGTAATGAATGAAAAATTTGCATCTGCTTCAGCGCAAATAAACGGGTTTTAGTAAGAAGTAGAAAATTTAGAATTAATTGCATTGGGAGAGAATGAATGTAAAACTAATAACCTTGGATAATATCAGAACTCTATTTTTACATATTAAAAATAGATAAACATGTTTGGTTACATAAGAGAATAGTAGACAAAATCGCTTATTTTTATTAATGTTAGTGTTTGCTGCGAGATAGGCTATTTTCGATTTAAATCCTTATTTCACTGGGTTCCATCTCTTATTTTCTATAAAAAAAATTTGGTTTTCATTGAGTTCACCAAGCTTATTCTTTAGGCCTCGTAAATATATTCACAATTTCTTTTTTTATGTGTTCGCTGAAAGCGGGTCCATCATAATAATTTTCTTCTTCCTCTTCATTGCTTGCACAACCGTTTTCCGGTTTTTTGTCAAAACGAAATCCGCCGCGGTTTTTAATGAATCTGACGTATCTTCACCTAAATTTGACCTGTACCCATTAACTTTAGGAGCATCCGTCGATAGCGACTTATTTTCATAGGCGTGCGACCTCAGAAAACTCTCCATATTCAAAGGCCTTCATGCAGAATGTCCATAGTGCTGAACTAATCATGTATTATCCATATCTCTATAGTATACTATATACTATAGTATAACAAGAAATTTTTTTTTTTTTTTTTCCCCCATAGGTGTATGGTTTATTCTTTAACCAAATTCATAAAGGTCACACTTTTTACAAAATTTAGAAAAATTCAACAAAGGTTCATCTAAATTTTGTACTTTTTAACCAACTTCCAAAAAAGGAGGAGGCACCATACTGAGCCAACTAATCCGTTTACTCGCACGCCATAACTTAAAAGTAATACTATTTAAAAGTAATTAAATAATGGCGTTGGAGATTTTTACACAGTATTTCTTATGCACATATGTATATATCACTTTTTACATGTATATAAAAATTCAAGAATGAATTTCGAGTGTATTTTTTTTTCATTTGGTGACACACTAGCAAGTACAATTTCACCGTCTAATTTCAACACTTTGCAGTATCTAAAATTATTGAAATTAAAAAAAAATCATAAAATTTCAAAAATTACAAAATAGCTGCGACAGATATTCTGCATGATGCCATTTTTTAATTTGGTGGCACACGTTGAAACTTTACAGATATGTTGTATTTGGTGCCAACCTCCATTGCTTCTATTATGAACATTCTATTTGAAAACTTGCCAAAGTTATTAAGTAATTTGAGTATATTTTGCAACGATGTCTTCGAATCAAATTTGACAAGGGATGACGGAAATTGGTTCCAAAATACCTCATACACCCACCCTGTCGGAAACAAAAACAACCAAAAAGGAAATAATTTCGGTACTTTTCGCCTAAATAAACGTTTTAAGGCTAAAATTGTTCAAATACTTTATTTATTTTTTATTTTACATATTTCCGGAACTCCATTCATTGGAATATATGTATGCAAGAAAAAGGCTTTAGCGTTTTTTTCTGCCGAGAAAATGGTGTGACATTAAAAAAAAAACCAACTCGTGAGATTTGCTCATTTGCTATAACTTCAAAATAAATCCGCACCGTTTTTGATGCTACAGAGTTTATTATTTCGAAAATGCAAGTACGCACACATCTGTGCGATGTCATTTTAAAAACAAAAAAAAAACAAAAATTTTTTTTCAGCAAAAAATTTAATTCTTGACTTTTCCACAAAAAACATGTATTGTTTTCTTACACCATTTTTATAATTGCATAAAACGCTGCAGCAAAATCGTATATGTACGTGTGATGTTCCTCTTTTAAAAATATGGTTGGCATTGTTGTAATTTTTGTCGGAACAGATTCGCACCGACAGAATCGCATAGGTGCGAGGATACCTGAAGCGTGTGGACTTTCTCTACCTACAAAAGAAAGTTGCTGAACAAACATTGTTAGCGAATAGATATTCGGCTAAACTCTACAATAGGATCTAAAATTTTTACGCCGATTTTTTGGAATATTCTGCCGAAATTGACAATAATATCTGAGTTAACTTTAGTCCAAAAACCACAGCGCCAATTTTTAGGGGTTTTTCCCCTTAGACAAAAAATCTTCCCAAACAGAAGTTTTTACTGGATGGGTATTCCACCCGAATGCGCATTAAAATTAAAAATTTTTTGCAAAAATACGATTTTTGCCATCTTGATAAATATAGTACCATGGGAATCGGAAAATAGTTCCAATTATTCAAATTAGCGCTTTTCAAAAAGGGACATGTAACTCCGTTGTTCTCGGTATAAGATTTTAAAATTTTGATTGAAGGGTCACTTTTATTTTTTACAATAATCACAATGTTGAATGTGATACATTTTTTCCTTAATTTTTTATAAAAATATAGCAGATTCTATAGCATAAACCATGTAAATCAAAACTTAAAACTTTGTGTACAGTCCAGGAAAATTTAAAAAAATTTCATCAAAATTTTAAATTTTTTTCAGATTCATTAAAAACTTACTGGTTTTTGTAGCTTATTGTATTTTAGTATAATAATGTGCAAATTTGAAAATTCGGAAAAATGGTTCATTTTTAAGAATTTTCTTTTTGTCGAGGGTGTCACGCTTCATTATAACTATCGTTGTTCTGTACGATGCCAATCATGTTGAGTGATGTATGTATGTAAGTAATTGAATACGCTGATTTCACCAGTTATTAACACTTGGCGTTTGTTTAACTTTATTATCAATTGTGTTGATTATTTACTTTATCTATTTTATTACTGTATCTGTTGATTTGCAGATTTCGTTATTATTTCGAATTTGTTTCCACTAGGCACTGCAAAAACTGGCATAGAAAACAGCTTTTACGATTTGTTTACTCGCACCTGAGCCGCTAATCAATATTTATTAAATTAAGTTGTAGAGTGGTTTGTCACCGGAGAGTAAACACACGCACATACATATACTTAAACATACATGCGCACATTGTTAACGGAAACTGATTTTAACTTTCTTATTGTACAAGTTTCTTTTTTTTAATGAATGCCGCAACTGGTTTGTAAGTCAATGTGTAAGTAGCCAATTTGTTGGCCGGTTAGTAAGTTGTATTGTCTGCTTTTGATTGGCAGCGATGCGACGTCGGTGCTGATGATAATGATGATGGTGGCGATGATTCATCCAAACTGACCACTGTTATTTTTTATTATTATTATTATTTATAGACTTGTTCTTGAACACATGCATACATTATGTAGTAGTAAGTACATCTACATACATACATACATATATAGTATACATAACAATGTGCACTTGTGCACTTTATTCGATTCAGTCGAGTGAATTTTGTATTGCAGAAATTTTAATTACTTTTATATAAACCTTATCCTTTGTATTCATACTTGTCTTCAAATTTCGTATTCGTTTTCGTATTAATGTTCGTGCTCGTTTTCGCTTGCGTCATCCCATTTGTATCCGTATGTATTCGTATTTTCCTTCGTAACGGTATTAGTTTTCGTTTTCGTCATCATCTTTGCATTCGTGTTCGTATTCAACTTCGTATTCCTATTCGTTTTAACCTTCATAATGATATTCATCTTTCGCTTTATATTCGTCTTATTAGTAGTCTTCGCATTCGTCTTCGTGATCGTTTTGGTTTGTATTCGTTTCCGTCTTTGAGTTCGTCTTTGTCTTTATAATCGACTTCGTGTACACTTCGTATTCGAATCTCTCTTAGCCTTCGTTTAAGCCTTCCTTTGATTTCGTATTCAGTTTTGCATTCGTCTTCATATTATTCTTCGTATCCGTCCTAGCGCAAGCAACTACGGCAGTAATCGTTTGACGGCATACCCATTCTAATAGTGTGCGCTCCATCAGGCAGTGCCCGGTGAGAGCTGTAATTACGTCGGCGCTTATCCAATCTAGGCCAAATATGCCTTGCTATCCTGCACCATCTTGTATTTGCCTGTCCGATACAGTTTTAGGTCTTACTCTTCGTATTAGCATTTTTCGCTTTGTATTTGTCTTTGTCTTTGTATTCGACTTCGTCTATGAGATTACGTGTCGTAGTAACAGCTAAGCTGCACTATAGGCATTGATCCCTAAACCCCTTGTAAACTAGCTCAGAAATGCAGGTCTAGGCTAAATTGTTGTGGTAAACAAAACGAACTTGTTTTACTTCGGTTGCTAGGTCACCTGGACTTTTAGGTAATGAGGCATTAGATCACTTGAATAGGAGGCTCGGACCAAGTGTTCCTCAACCTCAAGCAGTTATATCACTCTCAACATTGTCCATCAAGGCTACCGTCAGAAACTGGGTGAATACCTCGTTCATCAATAACTTGCAAGCTTCGGGGGCATACACGAGTTAGAATGCTGTTTTCGGCACCAGTTTTTTTGTGTCCGCGTTGTCATCACAGGAACTATGTGCACCTTGGTATCATTACATGCATTCCTTCTTTGTGTACTCTGTTGGAAAAGAGGCCTGCTGGGGAGCCCCACAGCTGACCAATACGATCATCATGAAAAGTGGAGATCGTGGGGTCATTTGTAGGTTCTCAAGTCACTCCTGGATTATTCCGAGTTATCCTTATATAAACCCTACAAGGTTAGAATTCAGGAAAGGGACTGCTGTGAAGTGATAGTAACTACAATTGACGAAAAGTCCCAAGTATGGTATACCGACAGATCAAAGATGGACGGCGGGAGTACTGTGGCAGGCGTACTTGGACCAAGCATCTAAAAAAGTCGGCCAAAGTCTGTGTTCGCGATATGGTGGGTTCCGGCACATGTAGGGCGTGAAGGCAACGAATGGGCTGACTTGACATTGAAAAAAAATAAAATAATTAAAAAAATGTTTGGTAGGTTTTGATAGGAAAACAATTCGTTCGTGGCAACACTGACTGCAGTGCCATTCGAGAGGTCCAGGGTTTTTTTATTATCATTCTTTTTTGTTTTATGTATTTGCGTTTTAATTATTGGATTTAATTTTCATACAAAAAAAAAATATTTTTTTAATTTAACTTAATATTTAGAAACCTATTTTATTTATTTTGGTTTTCTTTTTAGGTTTTTTAACATTTTAATTAATTTCATTACGTTTAGAAACGTATTTTATCTTTCCCCATTTTTTATTCTATATGATTTATATTTTTCAATTTAATTTTCTTTTTGGTTTTAGATTTAATTGATTTAAACAGAAAAAATAATTATTTTTATTACACTTTTAGGATCTTATTTTATTTTTTTATAATTTTTTTGTCTTTTTCAAATTAAACATTTTCTCTTAATTTTAAAATTTTTAAGTTTCATTTAATTTTTAGGTATGTGTGTATTCCTTTGTATTTTTTTCTTTTTTCTTTTGTGTTTTTATTTTTTTTTTCATTTTGTCTAGATTTTCAAAAAATGTTTCTTCCACTTTTCAACTTCACGCACGAATCACCACTGCACGCAAGCACAAATACACAGATACATTGGGTATATTTTGCAGAAACTGGTTTATGCGGTTAAGTGGCTGGCTCAAACGCATTGCCAATACAACGAGCCAACTTGCGTACTAAATACTCACAACACTCATTTTAAATCAAATATTAAAAAAACAACGAACAAAGCAGTAAATCCAGTTAGTGATTCACCAACTTCAAAACTTCAACCTGAACCAATGGTTTTGTAAGCCGCCGTAGAGGATCATAATTGAAATCAAGGCGAATTAATATAAGGTGATAGCAGGAGTACAAAAACAAAAATGTACATGTATTTTGTTTTTGCTTTGGCGGCATAAACTGTCAAAATCTGTAAGAGTGTGTGTAGAAATTCAAACAAAATTTTTCAATTTGATATCAGAAGCCGTGCGGCGAAACACATACACAAAATCAGCTGAGCTAGTAACACCACCTTATATAAATTCGCCTTGATTGAAATTATATTTCTTTTAATTGACTTTTTTAATCCAATCAATTTACCTATTTTCGGTATATTATATAAATTTGTTATTTCAAAAAAATGCCAAAATTTTCACTTTCACAAATTTACCCGCTACCAGCGCGCGTTTTGAGCCAAACTCAGCCAATAACTAAAGGTGTCGTATTTAAACAACAAAACTTCACTTCTCTACTGACTTTTGTGTACGCACACATACACTTATACCTACATACGTGCATACCCAACAAGCATTTCAGTAAACGTTTTTAAAAATAACTTAAATTAAGTTTGCTATAATAAGCGTTAAATAAGCATTTTTAATATTAAGCTTATTAAAAATTTTTTCAAATAAACCTTTAATAAGTTTTGAGAGCGAATGTTTATAAATAACTTAAACTTATAAATGAAATGTAAATGCCAACGACATGAAGTAGTAAATATAAAATTTTTTCAATCGTAAGTGACGTGTTTACGTTTTTTAAAATATATTATTAAAAGAAAAAATTAAATAAAACCGATGTGGTAAAAAGAAGTCCAATCCAGGACCCGCTGCGCTAATCGGTGGAGCATTCGAGTCTTCAAATGATGAGTTCCCCTTATCCTTTCTTAGTTTAACATTCAATTAAAAATGTATTAAATTTTTTTCAGAAAAGTTCATCAATGAGAATGGCGGTGATGAAGCGGAATATATATGTAGCTGCATCGATGTCGCTTTTCCAATTTGCCAATAACCGCAAGTAATTGAAAGCACGCAACAAGATGTAATAATTAACTTTTTTATGCTTAATTTGTATGTGTTATTGTGAATTTGTATGCTAAAATGTCTATTCCCTATTTATATTTTCGCGACTGTAGATGAGTCTGCCGAAAATTCGCATTTCGTTTAGTTTCTAGATGTTAAGCAATCTATGTATGAGTTTTTATTGAAATATCTTTAAATAAAGGGTTATAAAAATGTTTATAAAAAGCTTTCTTTTGAAAATTTTTAGTAAGTTTATATTCATACGCTAATAAAAAAATTTTTTGAACCTTTATTATAAGTTTACACTTTTACGCTTATAAAAAGCTTTCTTTTGAACATTTATTACAAGTTTATATTTCTACGCTTATAACCAATGTTCCTTTTCGATTATATTACGCTTACTTTCAAGCGTTTTATAAACAAAAAATCAACGTTCTGTAAGCTTAATGTTTATAATTGAAATCTTAAAAAAAACTTTCTTTAAGATTATTTTGCTTGTTGGGTATGTATCTACAAACAGAACGACTTTAACACTCAACGATCGTTTGATGTTTTGTTTAATTTCTTTTTTTAACTTTTACACGTCAAATATATACATAGACTAGTGTACCCGATAGGAAATTCGCGTGTTTGGATCCTACTTTTCCAACACTGGAGTACACCCAGTGGTGAAACCATATTTTATTCGCGGTGTTCATTAACTAATTTTTTTTACGGGTGAGTCCAATTGGTAGAGCCTGTCTTAATTTTTAAGCGGTATTGGGTGAGGGCTCAGTTTAGTGAAAGACAATATAATTAAAGTATACTCTATTTATCGTTTGCAGTGCGTAAAATATAGATAGAGACAGACTAAATCTGGGAACTATTTCTGGATTTTAGAGTTTTTTGGTATTCTCGGAACTTATCGATATAATAATCGATGTTTTTATCGATTTGGTTATCGATATTTTTATCGAAATTTCTATCGATTTTGGTATCGATTTGGTAGTTCGTTCTTCAACCAAATTCTGAGATAGTCCAGAAAACTGCAATGCGGCTCAAAGTTACTGATCAGTTCAATTGTTGATCATACGCTCATTGCTAGTTTTCATACCACCTAGCCGGCTACATAGATTATATCATCCCATAACTGCAATTTGGGGAAATTTTTCCAGTCACGATTGGCAAGGATGGATGGCGTAAGGGTCTGCAAGTGACAGACAGTAGAATTAAAGTGTTCAAAGATGGTTCAAAATATACAGAAGACATAGGAGCAGGTGTACATTGCAATGATTTAGGAATAAAATGCCAAATTACTACAACTCTTTCAGGTGGAAGTCAGGGCGTTGAAGCAAACGGCGTAGCTTCTGAATTACAGCAATGCTCAAAGCAATCCACATAGTTTCTATGTATATACTTAGCCAAGCAGCCATAAAATGCATAGTATCATATACGACCTCAAAAAGTGTCCTGGAATGCAGAAGTGAGCTAAAAATTTTAGAGTTTAGAGTGCTACTAAACATTGCAGTCATTCTATAAATTCCTACTTGCCTACAGGCTCTTAAAAAGAGTGATTTAAATCTGTTCGAAGGCGCATGAGAGGTGTTCCCAACGAGGTGGATGCTCATGCCAGAGGACTATTACTAAACTCCTAAAGAACGATTTTAGACTTCTGGTGAGTCTCATAACTGGTCACAATTTATTAGCTAACCACGCCCTTAAAGTGGGTTTGGTCTGTAGTGATAACTGCAGGAAGTGAGAAGTGAAATGGAAAAAGAAACGGTGGAGCAAATAGTGTGCGATTGTCAAGCGCTGACAAATTTAAGTCTGAACTTTTTTGGCGGGGCGTTCCTCAAATCCTCGAGCAAGCAACAAAAGTCGGGTTCTGCAGGATCATAATATGTATATGATATAAGTAGTGCCCACAGATTCGTCATGAATAGTTGCTTTAATACTATGGACGAAAACATGTGCCTCTGTGTGGATTTTACTATCCAGCCATTTCTACCTAACCTTGCATAAAAACACGCTCTTTAAAATATATCTACAAAAATAAATCTAAAAGCGTTTAGTTTTACTTTTTTAAGTTATTTTCATGAGTCTCCTTTATAGCATCAGCTCACCAGTAAAAGAGTTAGGTCGAGACCTAAAAATTACCAGTCGGACGGAACAAGTTCTGGGCTATGGTCGATTGGCTGGCTGGCTTTAGTTCTTTCCTAGTTGCCCTTCAGCATTAAGTTAGCTCTTGGTAGCGCCATTCTATTGGACTTCACTTGTACAATGGACATTTATTCTAACTCCTCAATTTGTGCATTGTCTACGAAAGTTTAGTCAAACTATTGTGAACACGCGTTGCTCCTGGCTAGGTCAATTATTTCGCCCTCGCATTAACATCGAAACATTTCTATCTCGAGCTTCCCTGGTAGCGTTATTCTTTAGTATCCTACAGGCTAAATATCTACTACTCATATGCCTATATCGCAGTCCATTCTGTACTCCTTTAGAGAAGATGCAAATAACTTCCTTTTCAGAAACTTGGGCTCTTATCCATTCGCTTCTGGATGGGTACCGCACATACATATATACGTATTTAGAACTGATCTACGCCCCGATGGGCTCCTTTCTCCACAAATCAGGCTCTTTAAGTCACACTGCTGAGTACAACGCGGTTTCCTTTGGGATAGATCAATGGATATTTTAAAAAGAATATCCATCAGCGTTTCTGAAGGGCAGGATTTCAGCACTCCCGTTACCCTCGTTTGAGCCGCTTTTGTAAGCTTCTGGGCTGGCTGACTTTGCATTGTTTGCTTACTAGGTCGCCATGGGTTAGAATTGGGCTCATAAATAATAATGGTTATGTACATCCACATTAAAAGTTCCGGTTCTGTGAAGTATTTTTTAACTACCTTTTTGAGTGATAGGACATTATCATTGTCTGGGCATATTTGTGTGAAACAAAAATTTATTTCACGCGTGCGATCTTTACCTACAGGGTAGATATCTACTTGATTGTTGTACCAAGTACTACCAACAATGATACTCAGGCAATACAATCGGTTAGCAGGCAATTCATGTCGGTTAACATTTATGTCTATAAACATCCCTACATGGGTATCAATTTTCAAGTGTCAGTAAACGTAGTCGGTCTATTGCCTTTAGCGGCCAAGTGATAGTACATATATTTTTACTTCTCTACATAAATATGTATGGGCATTCACATATACATACTTACGATTTTTTAATGCTATTGTATATACGTTTTGGTTAATGTATGTAGTCAGGCAACTGACAAATAGTATGTCAAGCGCCAGTACACTTCAGTGACTTTTACTTTGAGTTG